GAGTCATCGTCCATGTCGTCCTCCGAGCTTCTCATCTGCGTTCCATCCCACTCCTCCATAGTCCCAGCATTGCCTCTGAGCACATAATCCTTCATTCTATCAGACGTCGCCCCGCCTCCTCCTGCATGGATAGGTGTCGAAGACCCTGACTTTGACGGTCGCCAGAACCTGCCACCCAAATCTGCCACACCTCCGCGCGCATGAGCACCAGAGTTGGTCCTTATATGGTTCCTCAGATTCCTGCTGTTGTATCCCGATGGGATTGCAGTTCTCAAACCGGAAGGACGGAGGAATTCAGATTTTGTATATCGTCGTGGGTAGGTGTGCGCAAAGGTTCGTGAGTTGGCGGTAGTGTTTTTGCGAGTCACCTCCCTCTCTTCTTCCGAGGAAGAGGAGGTCGAGAGGTAGGAGGAAGCGCTGTTCGTTGATTTGCGCTTCGGTTTTCCGTTCGTGGAGGGTAAAGGTAGGTTTGTGCGAGAGAGAGCGGGAGACGGGGGGTTGGAAAGGTGTACTGTCCTTTTCGTGGTACTCGTCGTCTTCGTATAAATGCCCGTTGTTTTCCAACTTTTGGCGCCTATAGAAGAGGAAGCGCGGACTGTATAAGAACTGGGAGCGTTGGATGAAGACGACGAGAGTACGTTTGGGGTCGACATCGTTCGAGTCCACGGCGGAGGGGATTCTAATTGATTCCTTCCATTCCTCTTCGATGAAGAGGGGAACGCCACACGTTCCTTCTCCACGCCGGGATCCTTCAATGGATGCGGATCTAGTCGCTCCGGTGAATCGAAGCTATTCGAGGGACTGAGAGCAAATGAGGAAACACTCTCGCTCAATGGTGGAGAACTGAGAAATTCATCTTGGGCGGTGCCGCTGGCTGCGGAGGAGCTCTGAGAAGAATGGCCGTGAGATTCGAGAGACATGATGGTCCCGTTTTCTGATGAATGCATGATTTGAGAGTCTCGTTTCACTACTACATCCTTCACTCTTACCCATGAGATATCTGACTATAAGAAGCACGCACCTCTGGGATAGTTGTACAAAACTGCATCCGCGTCTCTTTCCATTGCGATGGATAAGATAAGATAAACCGTCACAAACACAATTTGTGGATCCTTCATGGGCGGTGCCGCTGGCTGCGGAGGAGCTCTGAGAAGAATGGCCCTGAGATTCGAGAGACATGATGGTCCCGTTTTCTGATGAATGCATGATTTGAGAGTCTCGTTTCGCTACTACATCCTTCACTCTTACCCATGAGACATCTGACTATAAGAAGCACGCACCTCTGGGATAGTTGTACAAAACTGCATCCGCATCTCTCTCCATTGCGATGGATAAGATAAGATAAACCGTCACAAACACAATTTGTGGATCCTTCTTTTGCCAGGCTTCTGAGTCTTCGAACGCCCAAATGGCAGCGAGCAAGAGCCCATCAACTTGAGAATGCGAGAGTTGTTGAAACAAGCCTGGTGCCTGCCGTTCCAATAAACCACAGAGAAGAGTTGCTCCGTCAAAATACTTCTGACCTTGACTTCGCGAATTCTCCAAATGGCGGGAGGTCTGATTTTGAGGCCAACCCCCTTTCCCCTTTACGGTAACGTGAGAATTGGGTATGAAACGATGCGCTGCTGAGAAGGCGAGAGCTGGCTGCCTGAAGAAGGAGAGTGATGGTTTTTGACTGCTGAGTTTGTTGACATGTGAATTAACCGGCTTCAACTTTCCGCTGTTTGGGGACCACGACACCCTTGATTGGCACTGCAATCTCTGACAATTTGCTCAACTTACCTTTTGACCTTGTTTGATTGTACAAAAGATCGTGAAAAGCCAATTCATTCATTTCTTTACGATAACAGAATTCTTTGACGAAATGGCTGGGTTGAAAAAGCTTGTTACCACGGATCTGGGATTAACAAAGAGGATTGGAAGGCTCATCCCTTTCAGCCTGGATTTCGGTTGAACAAATTGCAGAAACAAGGTAAGAAAGTAGGTGTTCCGTTCGCTTCATTTTGGTTTTGTCCAGTTAGAAGGGATTTCAATGGGTTTGCATGTGCATCACATCCACGGGCGGGCTTGTGATTTGGGCCACTGGCGGAGGTTCACCTGCCAATCTTGCAATCTTGCGTTCACCAAAACGTTGATTGCTCATTCGTGGCGGTCGTGATACGGGCTGTCTATCCTCTAATATTAATAGCCAAACCATGATAGAGAGTGTGCCCTGTCGAGCTGTCACGGGCTGAGGAACATTTATCAGGGCTGATTTCAGTTGGTGTGTGAATGGACAAGCTACAACAGATAAATAAACTGATCTTTGGATCGAAACCGAAGAGCTCCTGGATGAACTGATGCGCCGATTTTCGTTCGCAAAATGGCACAATATTCACGAGGCGAACGAGGGGGATACAAGTCAATCAAGGCACGCTGGTTAAGCTGTGAGGATGAAGAACCTGAAAGTGCCGCAAGGATGAAGTAACATTCGACCACGAGTAAGGATCGACACGTGAAAGGTAATTTGAGGGTCATCCATTGATCACTCTGCTTCTACGCAGCTTCCAGACTGCTTCGTTGGTTTGCGACTGGGTGGTCACTCAATACAGGTTTGTTTGTTTAGAACTTTCGCCCTGCTCAGATCTGCAATGATAACACTCCCGTTATTTGATAAGGCTAGGATACGAGCAGAAAACGTTTAATAGGCTTTATGGGGAAGTCGGTTAGGTGGTCACCGTCGCACCGTTGGGATAGCAAGTTGTGATCCCCCGTCAATCTATGAGCGGCTCTATTTTGTTAAAGGTATCATGGGGAGTGAAAAAGCAAGTCTTCAGCTACAGGCTATTCCTCATCGCCAAAGTGAAACAACTTGCGACCAACCTGGAGGAACCAATTTTTCACCTCTAGTTGCAAATAATAACGATATGGAAGGAACAGCAACCGGGCTTCAGGCCTCATCGAAAAAAATTGGAATGAGAGAGTTAGGGCCATGGAGACGGCGTGTGGATAGATAAATTTACGGGAGGCATCACCAGTGGCGGTTTAAAGGAGGATATTCACTCAGAGTCACGTGCATGGTAAGCCACTCATGAAACTAAGCAATCTCTATCATCATGATGAACAGTTGGCTATTATCTCACGGAACATGAGAAAGCATCCTTATGGAATGTCTTCAATGCAAGGAGACTAGAGCATTGTGCTAGTAATGTCACAGACATGAAAATTAAAGATAATAGTCGTCGTTCAGCAGCACAAAGTCTGAATTATACTGCTTTGAGGGCTTGCAATATCGAATATTGTGTGTGGCAATCGACAACGCCTTGCTACAACTTCCGCACCGCGAAAGGAGCTAATAAGAAGTCAAGAGGAGCACGCGGCTTATCTCGTCTGAGCTTGTCGGATACAACACCAGATGTTGCTGAGCCAAAGGTATACACAATTTCCGCTCTACAGATCAGGGACAGACCCACCTGACCAAATGACTGAGCCACTAGCTCTATTTCTTCTTCTTTTTCTTCTTTCCACCTCCACCTCCACCTCCACCCATAACAGCTTGCCCTGCCGTAACTCCTGCGCCAGAAGGTGTTGGTGTGGCTGAGGTTGATCCTGACGGTAGAGTCGTAGGAAGGGGATCATCAACCTCTCGGTTCTGCATTGCTGCTGTAAAGCGTTTGGTGAGGGTGTCAAATCGGTTAAGAAAGATGGCGGAGTAAGTTTTGAACTTGAGACACTACCCAAGCATACATTGATAGGTGAATGGAAGGATTGAAGAAAGAAGGAAGAACACAAACTGTGGTGTCGTCTGTCACTTTTAAGACGAGGAGAGAGCGTGTGTGCCGGTAGCGGATGCAGTATCGTGTCTACCAGCCCAATTAGCCTATAGTGACACAGTCTCGCGGAAGCGCCGACAATATCAGCCACCATCGACCATTTTCTACAAATGTACCACAATGGAAAGACTTACCCGTGTGGGATTTTCGTTATAAAGCGCAAGTGCGCGCACACAAAATTCATCCCACTTCGTGATATACACCATCTCCCTCCCTGATCTGATTCGTAGCTAAGCTATGTTCTGCTGAGCATGAACGAGTCGTGCGTCTTGCAAAGCCAAAAGTCTAGATCTTAGCGACCCTAACCCTAGTCAGAGCAACCAACTTCTACCTTGGAGGGACAAAAGACGGTGTCAGTCGGAATCGAAGGAAAGGGTATATCAAGGGGAGAAGAACAACAAGAGCAGCAGCGGTGTGTTTCTCCTTTACGATTAATCCTGGGCAACGAGTTGAGACAAGTTAGCGATACAACGATGGCAGAAACGAGTTCTCATAGGGCAATCAATGATTTGTTAGGGAACGCTCCCGCACTTCCAGCTTCCCAATCACACTGGAGGACTTTGGAAGAGTTCAAGTACGCCTTCCAATACGATGAATCGTGAACTGTACAGCGTTCGACATGTTTTCCGGCAGCCCAGAATTGTTGCCAGGGTTCTCCTCATATAACGCGGAAACCATTTCGTAATCCTACATCCTTGCCGCGGGAAGGAGCCGATATTGATGGCATGGTCTCTTTCTGTTCCATAATACTAAAAGCAGGTTCAAATGAGATAATCAATCTCACACTATCCTCTCAAAATGTAAAATACCAGAGCTTAAGTCTCAGAGGCGAGATTTTGAGTGCAACGACAGCGATAAAAGTCGAGGGAATCTACTGCTGAGGTGGCGAGATGCGACTTTGTCTTTGCCTTCCGAGAGAGATAGGTGCTCCGGAAAAGACTCCGAAGTATTTACGAAGACGTTTAAGTTCCATGGGGCGCTGAAGATAACTTCAGTCATAAAGGTCGAACTGAGCTGTTTATTGTTAAATTATGCTGCACAGAGAGCACAGTATGTCTGTCAGGAAGAAGGCAGTTTTGGTTAGACGATCTGGGCCAGTAAGCACAGCCTACACTCGTCGTCTAGATTAGTATCCATAGATAAAAAGTTTAGGTGGATAAAGGACGTTGGAGGGGAAAAAATGAAATCCTCTCGGAAGAGGAGTCGAACCTCTATCAACTGCCAGACAAGCAGGTATCCTGACCGTTAGACCATCCGAGACCTTGTTGACATTATAATAATCGAATCTCAAAAAATAAAGAGACTTGAGGACACAATGCCTCGGTGGACTTCGGTTTATTTCCTCCCTCGTGGCATTCGTTTTTCCTCATCCCTTGACTCACAGAGATACTTTTACAAGACTATGAAGGATATGGGAGCGAACCAGACCGCAAAAGATCAACAGTCCCATTAACAAAATCCAGGGGACATCACATATGCAAAAAGCGAATGGAAGCGACAAACTTCTGAGCTGCAAGTCGCTTCAACAAAGCAATATACACAGGAATAATGGAAGAGAATTTATCCAGTTTGAATAAGGAGAAGATGCTTGCAAAGGTTCGAAGGCAGCCAATTTAATGTCACGTGACTAGCTATCAGAACAGCTTTCGATGCTTTTCTCATGCTTTCTAGAAGGTCTGCAGGATCAATATTCGCAATTTCTCACTGGAAGTGTAGCCTCTCATGGCTGTGGAAACGCAGGTGAAAGTGGTCGGTCGCAACCCGGCCCTTGTGTTGTGGAACAATTGTTCGGAACCTTAAGCTGCGTCCACATTGGTTCGACCATCCCATTCTGAGCGGCTCATCCTGGCGTCTCGAGGCTTCTGCAAGTAAATATTAGATCAGTTATACCGTGTTCATCTTCAGTTCAAGGGGGAGATAATCATCTCAACTTTCTAACCATTCAGGTGTGTGGTTCCCTCGAAAATTCCGATTCAAAAAGGGTCTCACTCCTTCCGCAACTCGCGCTTCTTTTCAACGTTTCCACCCCAAAAGGCACACACTCCTTCATCTTTCAGAATCTCTTAACCTGGTTTTTTTTTGGTGTTTCTGCTTCCTCAAATTTATCAACTTCTTGAGCTGGGATATCCACCGTAATGTCCGAACCAGCCGCTTCCACCTCCACTCCAGAAACAGACGGGGCCCCAAGCGCAGTATGTCCCTTCTCTCTCATACATGCACTCACACTGAGTCAATGGATAGGCCGCGGCGTCGATCATCACCCAGGTGTCCGCTCAAAATGCGTTTGCGCCTCGTCCAGTTCGCCCCACAAAACAACAAAGCAAGAAGAAAGTTCCCAAGAAGAAAGCCGCCGAGCCTGCTTCCCCAGCAGATCGGCAAACCAGCTTGTTCTCGGCTCCTACGTCCCCAACCTCATTATCGTCCATCTCTTCACCATCTGTCTCAACCACTGGACCTCTCGACTCCTGGCTTTCCTACGACTTCCAGCCTTTCCCTCTCTCCAAACATGCTGCCTTCTTCAAACAAGAGGGAATAGAAGACCCCTACGTCTTTCTTACGCTCTCAAGTGCCGAGCTGGAAGATTACTTTTCTAAAGTACCCTCCACCATGATTGGCGGCTTCGACAAACGGCGTATCCTGTATAAAATCGACGCTGTGCGAGATGGAAAAGCGGAGTTCAAATTTGGTCCAGAAGCGTCAGCCTCCACAGATACCCCAACGACCCTCGATCCCTCCCTCGTGATCGAGACAAGTTCACCAACCAGCACCGTCCTATCAAGCAGAAATCGCGAAAATAGTCCCTCACATACGACTCAAAGTATCAGTTTGATGACACCTCATACTCATGCTACTCATCCTGTACCCGCGCCAGCGAGCGATAATGGAGATATACCAGTCTCCGCATCGTTATCACAACCGGCCACCTCGTCGAATAACATTTATCCACCGAGCGATTACAGCTGGTTTGCACAGAATCATGCACCTTCCTGATGCCAGTGGGCTTCGTTCGCAACGAGTTCTGTCAGTTCCTGCCTTGTTCATTTCTCCAGGTGTAAAAAGATCAAAATGTGCATAAGGTGTTTCATTTCTACTTGAAAATTCCAAAAATGATCGATTCACTGGCATGTCAGGCCGCGCCTTTTGATATTTATGCCTAACATGGTATGAGCTCCGCGTGTCATGAAAGCAATAAACCAACCAGCCGTTCCGCAACCCAGCCACTCCGCAGGTCTACCTCCTCGCCTCCTTGCCCAGTCTCCCCATTTGCTTTCCAAGCTTCCCTAAGTGTACACAGTCCAGATTGCTCGAAGCCGACTGCTCCAAACAATTTCTTCGCAGCTTCGTTCGTCGGCTTCACCATCGTCCTCAACAGCGCTTCTCCAGCCGAATCCTTTTTCGCCACTTCTGCAGCCCCTTCAATGAGCAAGCGAGCAAGCCCTTTCCCACGCGCGGAGGGTAAAACGTAAAGGGAGGAGAGCTGATAATTTTTGTCTTTCCTCGTCGCAGAAGGCTGGAACGAAGACAGATGTGGGAGGAAATATTCTTCGTCTTTCATTGGGCCAACGAGCACGATTTGGCCCAGCCAGTCTGTGTTCGCGTCCAAGGCATTCGAAGTTGACGAGGATGTGGCGAAAGCAACCAGGATCACACGGTCGCTCTTGGAATAGCGACTAAGCCAGTCCTGCTCCGAGAAAGCTGCTTCGACTTCGTGAGTTGAGGAAAAGGAACCAGGTGAGGCGAGCAGAGAAGCGAGGCGGAAATTACGCAGCTGAGGGAGCAGATGGAGGAGAGAGGAATGATCTCGAGGGAGAGGCAGAATCGTGAACTGTGCAGCGTTCGACATGTTTTCCGGCAGCTCAGAATTGTTGCCAGGGTTCTCCTCATATAACGCGGAAACCATTTCGTAATCATACATCCTTGCCGCGGGAAGGAGCCGACATTGATGGCATGCTCTCTTTCTGTTCCATAATACTAAAAGCAGGTTCAAATGAGATAATCAATCTCATACTATCCTCTCAAAATGTAAAATACCAGAGCTTATGTTTCAGAGGCGAGATTTTGAGTGCCACGACAGCGATAAAAGTAGAAGAATCTACTGCTGAGGTGGCGAGATGCGAGTTTGTCTTTGCCTTCCGAGAGAGATACGTGCTCCGGAAAAGACTCCGAAGTATTTATGAAGATGTTTAAGTTCCATGGGGTGCTGAAGATAACTTCAATCATACACGTCGAACTGAGCTGTTCATTGTTAAATTACGCTGCACAGAGAGCATGGAATGTCTGTCAGGAAGAAGGCAGTTTTGGTTAGACGATTTGGGCCACTAAGTACAGCCTACAGTCGTCGTCTAGATCAGTATCCATAGATAAAAAGTTTAGGTAGATAAAGGACGTTGGAGGGGAAAAAATGAAGTCCTCTCGGAAGAGGAGTCGAACCTCTATCAACTGCCAGACAAGCAGGTATCCTGACCGTTAGACCATCCGAGACCTCGTTGACATTACAACAATCGAATCTCAAAAAATAAAGAGACTTTGGGGACACAATGCCTCGGTGGACTTCGGTTTATTTCCTCCCTCGTGGCATTCGTTTTTCTTCATCCCTTGACTCACAGAGATACTTTTACAAGGCTATGCAGGAGCAGGACATGGGAGCGAACCAGACCGCAAAGGATCAACAGTCCCATTAACAAAATCCAGGGGACATCACATATGCAAAAAGCGAATGGAAGCGATAAACTTCTGAGCTGCAAGTCGCTTCAACAAAGCAATATACACAGAAATAATGGAAGAGAATTCATCCAGTTTGAATAAGGAGAAGATGCTTGCAAAGGTTCGAAGGCCAATTTAAATGTCACGTGACTATCTGTCAGAACAGCTTTCGATGCTTTTCTCATGCTTTCTAGGCAGTCTGCAGGATCAATATTCGCAATTTCTCACTGGAAGTGTAGCCTCTCATGGCTGTGGAAACGCAGGTGAAAGTGGTCGGTCGCAACCCGGCCCTTGTGTTGTGGAACAATTGTTCGGAACCTTAAGCTGCGTCCACATTGGTTCGACCATCCCATTCTGAGCGGCTCATCCTGGCGTCTCGAGGCTTCTGCAAGTAAATATTAGATCAGTTATACCGTGTTCATCTTCAGTTCAAGGGGGAGATAATCATCTCAACTTTCTAACCATTCAGGTGTGTGGTTCCCTCGAAAATTCCGATTCAAAAAGGGTCTCACTCCTTCCGCAACTCGCGCTTCTTTTCAACGTTTCCACCCCAAAAGGCACACACTCCTTCATCTTTCAGAATCTCTTAACCTGGTTTTTTTTTGGTGTTTCTGCTTCCTCAAATTTATCAACTTCTTGAGCTGGGATATCCACCGTAATGTCCGAACCAGCCGCTTCCACCTCCACTCCAGAAACAGACGGGGCCCCAAGCGCAGTATGTCCCTTCTCTCTCATACATGCACTCACACTGAGTCAATGGATAGGCCGCGGCGTCGATCATCACCCAGGTGTCCGCTCAAAATGCGTTTGCGCCTCGTCCAGTTCGCCCCACAAAACAACAAAGCAAGAAGAAAGTTCCCAAGAAGAAAGCCGCCGAGCCTGCTTCCCCAGCCTCTGCTCCTGCTCCCAGCGATGCCCCTGTCGTGGACGAGAAACATCCTGTCGACCCTTCCGCTGCCACCGCCGTCGAAACCGGAGAAGAGACGACTACTAGGTCCTCTGAGACTAGAGTTGGGAAGGATGCAGCGCCGGTTTCAGAGAAGGAAAAACCTGAGGCAGAGAAAGAGAATAGGTTGAGGAAAGCTACCAAGCCTTCGAAGACGGCAACGCCAGCGAAGAAGAGAAAGGGAGGACTTGCAAAGTTCTTCGCTATCATTATCCCCTGCGTCGGTTCAACTGCGGCTCATGGACCCCCAGAGGAGTTTCTTGACATGTCGGACACTTCCTCTGATGCAGCTCGCCCATCTAGTACCGGAGAGAAGGTGGCCACAAAGGAAGCGGCTCCTCCAACTCCAGCGAAAGAACATAAGGAGGCGCCACCAGCTCCGCCATCCAAGGACGCATCGAGACGAAGCTCCGCTCCCAAAGAACCCATACAAGCCGATACCGAACACGCTGCCGAAGCACTGGCGGCTACGACCAGTGGAGGACAAGTCAGTCCTGGTGTGGTTCTCCCAAAGGATGAGACGGGAGGTGTCATGAGCTCAGATGTTGTGCCCATCGGGAAAGGAACAGTTGTAGCTGGAGGAGCCGCGACGGATGAGGAGAAAGATGAA